AACCAGTCAGTATCTGGTGTGACCACCATTTTCCTCATGCAGAGCAACACATCTCCTTCGCATAGAGTTGATCAGGCTGTTGATTGTGGCCTATGGAATGTTGTCCCTTTCCTCTTCAATGGCTGTGCGAAGTTGCTGGATATCGATCCAGAGTATCCCAAACATGCTCAATGGGTGACATGTCTGGTGAGTATGCAGGCCATGGAAGAACTGGGACATTTTCAGCTTCCAGGAATTGTGTACAGATCCTTGCGACATGGGGCCGTGCATTATCATGCTGCAACATGAGGTAATGGAGGCGGATGAATGGGACGACAATGGGCCTCAGGATCTCGTCACGGTATCTCTGTGCATTCAAATTGCGATCGATAAAATGCAATTGTGTTCATTGTCCGTAGCTTATACCTGCCCATACCATAACCCCACCATGAGGCACTCTGTTCACAACGTTGACATCATCAAACCGCAACGCCATACACATGATGCCAAATTCTCTAAAACAACGTTGGAGACAGCTTAAGGTAGAGAAATGAACATTAAATTATCTGGCAACAGCTCTGGTGGACATTCCTGCAGTCAGCATGCCAACTGCACACTTTATGAAAACTTAAGACTTGTGGCATTGTGTTGTGTGACAAAACTGCACATTAAAGTGTCCTTTTATTGTCTCCAGCACAAGATGCACCTGTGTAATGATCATGCTGTTTAATCAGCTTCTTGATATGCCACACCTGTCAGGTGGATGGATTATCTCTTGGTAAAGGAGAAATGCTCACTAACAGGGATGTAAACAAATGTGTGCACAACATTTGAGAGAAATAAGCTTTTTGTGCTCATGGAATATTTCTGGGATATTTTATTTCAGATCATTAAACATGGGACCAACACTTTACATGTTGCGTTTATATTTTTGTTCAGTGTAATTAAAATTAGTTCCTCATTGAAAAATGGGAATCGGTAGAATTCTAGGTAGCTGAGCATCTCAAAGAGCACTCTCTATCGTCTTTTTGAAATCCACACCACATACAGTGCATTCGGAAAGCATTCAGACTCCTTGACCTTTTCCACATTTTGTTACGTTACAGCCTTATTCTAAAATGGATTAAGTAGTTTTTTCCCCTCATCAATCTACACACAATACCCCATAATGACAAAGTGGAAACAGGTTTTTGAAATTTTAGCACATTTATTGAAAATGAAAAACAGAAATACCTTACTTACATAAGTATTCAGACCCTTTGCTATAAGACTCAAAATTGAGCTCAGGTACATCCTCCGAGACAGGATTGTGTCGAGGCACAGATCTGCGGAAAGGTACCAAAACATTTCTGCAACATTTAAGGTCCCCAAGAACACAGTGGCCGCCCGGCCAAACTGAGCAATCAGGGGATGAAGGCCCTTGGTCAGGGAGGTGACCAAGAACCTGATGGTCACTCTGACAGAGCTCCAGAGTTCCTCTGTGGAGATGGGAGAACCTTCCAGAAGGACAACCATCTCTGCAGCACAGCACCAATCAGGCCTTTATGGTAGAGTGGCCAGACGGAAGCCACTCCTCAGTAAAAGGCACATGACAGCCCGCTTGGAGTTTGCCAAAAGGCACCTAAATGACTCTCAGACCATGACAAACAACATTCTCTGGTCTGATGAAACCAAGATTGAACTCTTTGGCCTGAATGCCAAGCATCACGTCTGGAGGAAACCTGGCACCATCCTTATGGTGAAGCATGGTGGTGGCAGCATCATGCTGTGGGGATGTTTTTCAGCAGAAGGGGTCTCCCCATCCAACTTGGCAATAATGAGATTAACATATATTGCTATGGATGTGAGAGTAGGGTATAATCTAGATAGCAGGTCTCGAACCTAAACCACTAGCACTAATGACAAACACTCTAACCACTGTCCCAATGTATGTTGAGCCAGTATAGTTAGGCCCTGTCCAGAATAAACCATAAACCCTCCTCCCTAGGCACTTGTGCAGATCTGAAACGACTTGATAGATGTAAGCAATAGGGTGAATGCACTTTGAAGTAAATCTCAGCTTTGATAAAAGTGCATTAAAGAAAATATTTTATTAATCATAGTGATTCAGGGGTATCATTAAAACAGGTTAATATTCCCCACCAACATTAGACAACTATACAGAAGGCCCTTCAAGTGCTGAAATAAGTAAATAAAATCAATGATGAGAATAGTCAGACTAATCAATACCTGACCGGGACAAGGTGGCGTAGAAGGAAGATTGGAGTACTGTGAACGAAGAGGTTGTGAGTTCAAATCCCAGCTAAGGACTGTATAATTACTGTATAAATGAAAATGCACAATGTAATCGAGTACTGTATGTCAAATATGTAAGTTGAAAACACTATGTTAGAAGCACTGTGGTCCTCTGTAGCTCAGCTGGTAGAGCACGGCGCTTGTAACGCCAAGGTAGTGGGTTCGATCCCCGGGACCACCCATACACAAAAATGTATGCACGCATGACTGTAAGTCGCTTTGGATAAAAGTGTCTGCTAAATGGCATATTATTATTATTATATTATAAGCACTGTGTGTGTGAGTATTCTTAACCTTGCCAACAGACAAGGAGCTATGAATGAATCAGGGCTTTGGTTGGCTTGGAAAAAGTAACAAGATGGGATGTGTAATGAACTTTTCTTTGGACACATAAATGTTCTTGCAACATTCCCATGAAACATGTCTAGAACATTAATATCTTGCAGTGCCTTCAGAAAGTATTCATACCCCTTGACTTATTCCAAATGTTATTGTGTTACAGCCTGAATTCAAAATTGATTAAATATATTTTTTTCTCACTCATCTACACATAATAACCCATAATGACAAAGTGAAAACTTGTTTTGGGACTTTTTTGCAAATGTATTGAAAATGAAATACAGAAATATCAAATTTACACAAGCGTTCACACCCCTGAGTCAATACGTGTTAGAATCACCGTTGGCAGCGATTACAGCTGTGAGTCTTTTTGGGTAAGTCTGGATTGTACAATATTTGCACATTATTCTTTAAAAAATGATTCAAGCTATGTCAAGTTGCTTGTTGATCATTTTGAAGTCTTGCCATAGATTTTCAAGCCAATTTAAGTCAAAACTGTAACTAGGCCACCCAGGAACATTATATGTTGTCTTGGTAAGCAACTCCAGTGTATATTTGGCCTTGTGTTTTAGGTTACTGTCCTGCTGAAAGGGGAAATTGTCTCCCAGTGTCTGTTGGAAAGCAGACTGAACCAGGTTTTCCTCTAGGATTTTGCCTGTGCTTAGCTCTATTCTGTTTCCTTTTATCACCCCCAAAAAACTCCCTAGTCCTTGCCGATGACAAGCATACCCATAACATGATACAGCCACCACCATGCTTGAAAATATGAATAGTGGTACTCAGTGATGTGTTGTGTTGGATTTGCCCCAAACATAACGCTTTGTATTCAGGACATAAAGCAAAAATGTTTTTTGCAGTTTTACAGGATGTTTTGAAGAAAATGTTTTTATCTGTACAGACTTCCTTCTTTTTACTCTGTCATTTACGTTAGTATTGTGGAGTAACTACAATGTTGTTGATCCATCCTCAGTTTTCTACTATCACAGCCATTAAACTCTGTAACTGTTTTAAAGTCACCATTGGCCTCATGGTGAAATCCCTGAGCAGTTTCCTTCCTCCCCGGCAACTGAGTTAGGAAGGACGCCTGCATCTTTGTAGCAACTGGTTGTATTGATACACCATCCAAAGTGTAATTAATAACTTCACCATGCTCAAATGTCTGCTTTTAAAAATTATTACCCATCTACCAATCTTCTTTGCAAGGCATTGGGAAACCTCCCTGGTCTTTGTGGTTAAATCTGTGTTTGAAATACACTGCTCGACTGAGGGACCTTACAGATAATTGTATGTGTGGGGTAGAGATGAGGTAGTCATTCAAAAATCATGTTAAACACTATTATTGTACACAGAGTGAGTCCATGCAACGTATTATGTGACTTGTTAAGCAAATGTTTACTCCTGAACATATTTAGGCTTGCCATAATAAAGGGGTTGAATACGTATTGACTCAAAACATTTCAGCTTTTCATTTTTTATTAATTTGTAAACATTTCTACAAACATAATTCCACTTTGACATTATGGGGTATTGTTTGTAGACCAGTGACACAAAATCTAAATTTAATCAATTTTAAATTGAGGCTGAAACACAACAAAAAGTGGAAAAAGTCAAGGAGTGTGAATACTTTCTGAAGGCACTGTATATTCTGAGAACATTGCAACCATGTTCTGTCTGTGTATGTTAGGTGGGATGTTGATGGAATATTCTCCTAACCCATAGAAAACTGGACACAAATGTTTTTGCCAGGTTCCCATGAAACGTGTCTAGAACATTAATATCTTATGTTCTGAGAACATGTCTACCATGTTCTGTGTATGTTTGGCTATCCTTTGATGGAATACTCTCCTGACCCACAGAAAACTGGATACATGAATGTTCTTGCAATGTTCTCATTTAACGTGTCTAGAACATTGTCAGAAACTAGCTGTTAAGGCAGGAGAGCGATATCCTTTTACAGGCTTGTCTGTCTGGCATGTCAATATGTTTTCTCACAGCATAATGTTAAAGGCTGTCACGGAAAAGAGAAGATGCAGGGCAAAGTCGGGGGTGGATGATGTATGCGTCCCAAATGCCACACTATTCCCCATATAGTGCACTACTTTTGACCAGGACCCATGGTCAGAAGTAGTGAACTATGTAGGGAATAGGGTGCCATTTGGGACGCAAATGATGCTGTAGGTGGAGGAAGTGTGGAATCTTTACCATTTCTACAAAGGATTTAAAATGGAGCATATGTGTGATTTTGTGTGTTTCTTTCTCTTTTCTATAACACTCACAAGGTCACAATCTAACACAGTGTTAGTCAACCCCCGGACTGGGGATTAGCACCGATCCCTGGGATGTTGCTTGTTGGTCTCTCAAGTTTAATTTTTTATATAAATGGTCCTTCAAGGAAGAAGGACCTTAGTTTCCTGGTCTCTTGTACACAAAAGGTTGAGAAACATACTACTAATGGACACAAAGTGAATCTGCCTCTCTCTCACCCATGTGCATTGCTGTCCGGTCAGGCAGTGAGCAAGTTTTTCTGCGGATAGGCACAGCTTTATCCAGCTCCTCTTTCAAGATGATCTTTCCCAAGTTCGACTGAATCTGAAGGGTAGACATATAGAATGTCAAAAGGTTTTACAAGTGTCATGATTTGCCCTCATGGGCTGAGGGTCAAAGATGCCGCTAGGCAAAGGTTTGAACACCCCCTCTCCTGGGGGCCAGTTTTATGACCGGTCGTAAATACCGTGCAGACTTTCTCTTCCTTGCCATGAAGTATTGGGAGAAAGGACCCCTTTGTTAACACAGAGATTATTTTTAAGCATTTGTATTTCCGTGAGCGTAGTTTCCAAAGTAACCACGATAGTTTGAATCTCTGTCTCTCCCTTCCACTCTGATCCTTCTTCTACCCAAGCATTCATGCTATTGTTAGTCCAGTCCACTAGGGATCTGTTTTCATTGTATTACGTTTGTAATCAATAACCTATGTGTGTGTTTGTATTGTGTTATTATTTAGTTAGTTAGTAAATAAATAATTAAGACAATTTGTGTATTGCTGATTAGGTTAGGGTTCTTGCAGGTTCAAGGATTATGTGACGTTCAGAATGAGACTGATAAGAGGTAATTATTTAATAAGTGACTGTTATCGATATATATAACATATATATATCTTCTAAGAGTTTAATTCGGGAGATGGTAACTCGTTAAACAACTTCTTCCGAGGTGCCCCAAATTCCTAATGAGTTAATTGTTACATGATTAATTTAATCGAGTGACAATTAAACATAGTTAGGGTGATTCGATAAATAACAGTCATACTGTACATTAAAGTAAGTCACGTCACCACACGAGCGACCACTATCATTGAGTTACACTCAAGAAAACTGTTAAGATAACACTTAGAAAACACGTACAGTGGCTTGCGAAAGTATTCACCCCCCTTGGCATTTTTCCTATTTTGTTGCCTTACAACAGACATAGCGTTTTCCTTGATGGCCAAAAAGCTCAATTTTAGTTTCATCTGACCAGAGTACCTTCTTCCATATGTTTGGGGAGTCTCCCACATGCCTTTTGGCGAACACCAAACGTGTTTGCTTATTTTTTACTTTAAGCAATGGCTTTTTTTCTGGCCACTCTTCCATAAAGCCCAGCTCTGTGGAGTGTACGGATTAAAGTGGTCCTATGGACATATACTCCAATCTCCGCTGTGGAGCTTTGCAGCTCCTTCAGGGTTATCTTAGGTCTCTTTGTTGCCTCTCTGATTAATGCCCTCCTTGCCTGGTCCGTGAGTTTGGTTGGCAGCCCTCTCTTGGCAGGTTTGTTGTGGTGCGATATTCTTTCAATTTTTTTATTATGGATTTAATGGTGCTCCGTGGGATGTTCAAAGTTTCTGATATTTTTTTATAACCCAACCCTGATCTGTACTTCTCCACAACTTTGTCCCTGACCTGTTTGGAGAGCTCCTTGGTGAATATGAATACATATGCACGCACCACTTTTTGTGTATGTCCATTACATGAAATCCAAATAAAAATCAATTTAAATTACATGTTGTAATGCAACAAAATAGGAAAAACGCCAAGGGGGATGAATACTTTTGCAAGGCGCTGTAAGTGTGTGCAGTAGCCACATTTGGGAGAATTTGTTACAAATAAAACCTGTTCCGTACTTTGTTGAGCTCCTGCTTCTGCAGTTGCCGTAGTCCCCACATATCATCGGACAGATCTCCATCGTCATACTCTTCGTCCTCCTCATCCCTCTCTCCCTCCTCCCTCCTCTGGGTCTCAGCCTTCTTCCTCCACTCTGTCTCTGTGGTAGAGGGGAGGCAAGTGTTAGAGGAAACCCTGGTACTACTAAGCTCTATTACACTATCACTCTCCACTACCAACCCTTACTATCCCTCCTCATTGGAAGCTTAGTAGCTCATCAGCGGCCCGCGGTCGGCAAAGTTAGCAGCCCACTGCCAATTTTGCCCATCAGCTTCACAGCAGTAGTCGACACTTCAAGCTAAGAGCAGCATCAACTGTCGGATAGGACGAGTTAATGATGGTCGGTGTGCTGTTGGGCTGCTAGAGGCATGCCACCATGGCGGTTAGCGAAACTGGTCCGATATCAGCTTACCAGCTTACTGTACCTACAGTGGTGTGCTGCCTCATAGCCACCAGTGTTTTATAAGTGCTTGCTGGCTGGGATCGTTCACTACTAGGGTTGCAAAGGGAGGGTATATTACTGGGAACTTTCAAAGTTTACCAGTAAACTACCAGAATGTTGGTAACTTTCAAGATTTGGGGGAATTTTATAAGATGACATGTAGTGGCCTTTTTGGGTACTTCAGATTATCACAGGCGTCTGTAATTATCTTTGGCCCTCTGTGTGGCCTTATCACATGTAAAATATATAACATTTTAAAATAAGATGATTTTAAAATAAAAAACAGAATGACAAAGCTGTAAAACATTATCCTAAATATAAACCATCAACTTATTGAATACGATTGGTGTTTAATATGAGGGTTTCAACATGAAATATCCTTTATATATTTTTTTACACGTTTATTTTACTATGTCAGTGTGTTTTGTTGTAAATGTTTTGGCGCCAAACTGGTGGCAGTTGTAAAAAAAGTAAATACTTGGAAGAGTTGCAGAGTTAATAAAAAAGAATGCCATTATTGATTAGATGCTTTTTCCATTCATTTGGCTATTTTCTCTTGAACCATATGGTCTATCCACTAGAAACTCATGGACAATATGGACACAGATATAAAAAAATGATACTATATATGAATACATTTTTCTATTTAAAGTTCTTCATGTATAAATGACCAAAATTACCATAGATTGTCATAGATTACCTGTCAATTACCAAAATTACAGAAGATTCCAGTTACTTTGTTAAAATACCGGGAGCTTTGCAACCCTATTCATTACTATTCACAGTTGTGTTATTAATAGTGCAAGACATACCAACTGCAGCCAGGGAGGGGGGGCAGGGCCAGTAATCTGTCTCAATCTTGGAGGGTTTGTTGGGATCAGGTGGCTGGGCAGCAGGGAATTTAGATGACTCGATGATGAGATCCTCTATGTGTTTCCCCTGGGGGGTGGATGCTAATGCATCTACATAGACACACACACACAAACACAATGAAATATACAGTAAATGTGCACAGAACATCCAATGTTACCTTTTAATGTAAAATATTATGCCAGCATACAGTAAATTACTAAACTGTCAACACACACACACACACATCATGAAGTTGCATGAAATACCTTGTTTGTAAATTGGTGGCTTCTTGTATATATTCATTCCATTATCTGCAATGAAAATATCAAATCAAAATGGACATTAGTCCCAGATGAAAAGCAGAGCAGGGCAGAGAAGAGAAGAGAAAAGCGCAGAGGAAATAGCAGAGAAGAGAAGAGGTTAAGTGTGCTGATGGATTACAATACCTGGCCTGTGAAAGTGCTGCGTGGGGAGCTTGGTGGCGGTGACCGTGGCTAAGGCAGAGCTGGTTTTGAGCTGGAGGGTTGAACCTGGTGATGACCCTCCAGGTGACTCCCTGCTCTCCAGCCACTCCCTGGGATCCTTGAATAGAATAGTCTAGGGACACATGAGATTAACATTACTGTCCAGATCCTAATTGAGATCCAAACTGTAACCCAAACACACATTTGGAAAGTGCATGAAAATGAGGGTTCTGTGTACATTAGATTTCGTCCCTGAGTGAAGGAGCCAGTGAGGTCACAGCAAACAATAAGAGTGTAACAGATGCTCATTGTTCCCATGGTTACTGCTTTTTGTAAACGTGCTTGTGTAGAGTCGTGGGCTTTTAGACAACGGATGGGTCTAATCCTGGATGCTGATTGGTTAAAACCGCATTCCAGCCGATAAAAAAATCTATGAAGTTGAAATGCCTATTTACTCTGTTGCATCTGATTGCGCAATCCACTGTCTCATAAGCCCAGCCATGCAATTTATATACTAGATCTACACTGTAAAAAGCATCTAGACATTATTTCCAATTTATTTTAGACTAGCATTTGGTTTTCAACTGTGGAGATTTGTAATAACCTTGCTGTCTGTCTCTCCGACATTCGCAACAGTGTTTCAATATTGAAATTCGATCTCCAGCTGTCCTATGGTAATGAAAATGTTGGTAGTTGGGACGAGAGACTGGCTGGCAGCTTTTTCTCAGCCAGTCGAAATCATGAATCGGCATAATTTTGAGAAACAGGAAATGCAGCTAGTATGCTGTCATTCCAGCTTCAGTTTGAAGTGATTGTGTTAGCTGTGTAGTTGGCTATCTCTTCTGAGCAGTGGCCTGGTGAAATCGCACATCATTAGCTCATTGTTATGGATGTATACAAAAAAATCACTCGAAAACAGCTTAAACAAACGCAAACGCAGCTACTTTGCTGTTATTCTGGCTGCACTGTTTGAATTGACTCTGTTAGCCAAGGTTGGCTAGCTAGCAAGCAAGGGATAAGAACTTTGCCAGCCATCATGGCAACGGAACATTTAGAATGAACTACTTAGGACAAACATTTAGAACAAAAATACTTAATGACTGGGTCACGTCTCTGGCAACCGAACTGATAGAACGACTGACCAGCCGGCTTGGGTAGCAACCCTAGATTTGTGTAGGGACTATATCTCATGGAAGGATGAAATAGTATGAATAAATTCATCAAAATAACGTTTTTAATGAAAATATGTCAATCATTATTTGAATATGTTGGTAACCCGTTGTATAAAAGCGATAATGCCCTCGAAGCCGGTGTTTGGAGGATATATTGGCACAGTTTGCCGGCCCGAGACGTGTGCCAATATATCCTCCAAACACCGGCTTCGAGGGCATTACCACTTAAGTGTGTGTGTGAGTGTGTTTTTAACCATACCAGTGGAGCACAAAACCTTTCAACAACGATTACATAATTACAAACAGTAGGTGTGTGTGTGACCATATGAGAAGGAGAGAGGAGAGGAGAGGAGAGGAGAGAGAGCTCTTCATGGGGTACTGGGCAGTGGACTGACGATTAACAGCTCAAATTATTCTCCATCCGAGAGCACAGACGCCATCCATTCATCTTACCTCAGGAGAGGCCGGGTGGGAGAAGGAACGCGGAGACATGGACCTCTGAAGGAGAGAAAGGAAAGAGAAGGCTGTTTGATCAGTTGTATTTTCTCCCAAGGCTGCATTCTCCTTTGTGGGCTTAGTGAGACACAGACACTGTTTGACAGACAGTGTTACAGGCCTAATCAGGACAGTTTCATTACGCAAGACAGAGAGAAATGACTAAATCTGATCACATCACAATGCTTAGCAGCACAGGGCTTTCTCAAAAGTCCTTATTGAGTTCCATTGAACTCAATAAGTCTGTGTCCCACATGGCACCCTTTTCCATATATAGTATAGGGCTCTGGTCAAAAGTAGTGCACTATATAATAAGGTGCCAATTGGTGCACAGCCTAAGTGTTTGCATGGAAGAGATCTCTACACGCAGGCCAAACAGACAAAATGTACCTGCCCTGCATTTCAATGGTGCAATCATATATATTGTTTGATAGATATGCATATGCGAGTATATATTAATGCATATATTGTATATAGCCTATATATAGAGGAGATGTATCTTATCACACACAGCGAGGTAATAGCTAAAAAAGTGTAGTCAATGACAATTACATTATGTTTGTCTTGATAGAACACCACTTGTGTCGTAGTAGGACAGACAAAAACTACCATTATACTTTACTGTTAATCATGTAAATACATCATGAATACAATAGGGCCATTCCAAACAAGCGAAGGATATCCATTAGAATAGAGAGGAAACCCTTAATGCTGTAATATGATGATGGAGGGTGGTGTGCTGTGCCCTATGACCTCTCTGCTTCGGGGCACCTCCGATAGTTCCAGAGGCGTGTAATTGAAATGGGGTTCGTAGATCATTAAGTCCGGCCTCTCGATGTCCAGTATCGCCTTGTCTTTGGGGATGGCTGCCAAGTCCTTATAGCCAATGACCTGATTGTCCATTTTGGCCTGGAAAGAGGAATATAAGAAGAGGGAGAACATGACATGGGATTGGATCGTCATGTGAGGTGGCCTTGTTCTTCTATCCCCTCTAACACATTTCATATTGAGAATGTTTTTCAGGACTTACAGTTGGCTTTTGATGTTATTCAAAGGCAGCTTTTCGAATTGAAACTTGTGCTTAATGCAAGGAAAACAAAATGTATGGTTTTCTCTTCCCTGAAAGTAAACAGATGGAGTCTCTTGCCGACTTTAACTATAAAAGGCCAGCAAATTGATATGTTCACCTCCTATAAGTATTTTGGGATTTGGTTAGATGAAAAGCTGAATTTTAAACAGAACATTGATAACTTGACCAAGAAACTGAAGTTGAAATTGGCTTTCTATTTTAGGAACAAATCTTGGTTTTCAATGTTAGTCAGAAAGGATCTTGTTCAAAGCCATTTTTAATCAGTGCTGGATTATGGTGATATTGTCTATATGCAGGCCTCAGCAAGTACCTTAACTCTGGGCACAGTGTATCACGGTGCTTTAAGATTTATTACAAATGCTAGATCACTCACCCATCACTGTGATTTGTATGCTATGGACCTCTCTCTCCACCAGGAGGCTAAAGCACTGGTACAACTCCCTTTGTATCTCTGTTCCTTACTGACCAGATCAGTCACTCAATACAGTCTTTGTTCACAGTCGCTGCTGTCCTTGTCTGTTCCTAAGGCTAGAACTGAGATGGGGAAACAATATTTTTCCCATAATGCCCCTTCACCCTGAAACATGCTTCAAAATATATTAAAGTTAGGGGAGTTAAGTGTCTTTGCCTGTTTTTAAGACTGATCGACAACACTGTTTGTGATAGCTGCAGTTGTTTCTAATCTTCAATTGTATCTGTAACTTGTGACACTTTGTATTTTGTGTGTATTTTGTATTTTCTGTATTATTTTATGTACACGCTGCTATTTCCTTGTTTTGCCTTCTTACCAGGTCGCCCTCGCAAAATAGGTTTTTAAGCTCAATGGGTCTTACCTGGTTGAATAAAATAAAAAGATATATAGCCAATGACCTGATTGTCCATTTTGGCCTGGAAAGAGGAACATAAGAAGAGGGAGAACATGACATGGGATTGGATTGTCATGTGAGGTGTGTGTGTGTGTGTGTGTGTGTGTGTGTGTGTGTGTGTGTGTGTGTGTGTGTGTGTGTGTGTGTGTGTGTGTGTGTGTGTGTGTGTGTGGTGTCTTGTTCCTCTATCCTGGTGGGGACCTGAAATTCCCAAAAGTCCCCACCAGGACAGTAAAACAAGGAAAATTCTCCCCACGAAGACAAAGGCTATTTTAAGATTAGGGGTTAGGTTTAGGGTTACAATTAGGGTTAGAAGGTTAGGTTTAGGCATTAGGGTTAGGTTTAGGGTTAGGGGTTAAGGAAAATAGGATTTTGAATGGAAATCAATTTTAGGTCCCCACAAGGGTGTGTGTGTGCGTGTGTGTATAGAGGAGTGTCTGTCTGATGGTGCAGACTCACCGTGATGGCCACGGCTGGGGATCCTGGGACGCTGATACCACGGAGGGAACACACACTCCCAGGGGAGGTGCGGGCCAGTTGCTGCTCCCAAACACACAAGGGGTCAAAGGTCACATGGTCAGACACACAGCAACAACATCGAGATTGTGGCTCAGTTAGTAGAGCATGGCACTAGCAACTCCAGGGTCGTATGCACTCACTTGTGTAGGTCACTTTGGATAAAAGTGTCTGCTACATGGCATATTTGTAATTCTAACCCAGAGGAAGAAGAACCAAACAAGTCAACAACGAACCATACAGTATACAGTGGTTCGTCAATTAAAAGATTTGAGCTTCTGCAGCGACCATTTGTGGTAGATGGTGGCAGATTGTGGTAAATTGAGTAATTCTGTCGTTGCACCACACTATCACAAGGGGGAGTTATAACGCTGATCTATCGGTAGTCTAAACTGTGGCACAAATTGGCTATCTTTTCGTAAATTAATGGAGGTGTGAATGTTTCAGTCCGAGAGTCTCTCTTCTCTGGCACTAGAGTCCTGCATCAGGCAACAACCAAAAAATTGCTGGCGGGTGGTCCGGAGTTGAGAGAGAACTTGGGTAAATACAATGGCGCAATTACACTTGACATGTGGACTGACAGATTTTCGAAAAATAGGCTTTTGGTTTCTCTCCCTCTAAAAACAGAAATCATTCTAAATAACAAGCTGGCTTTATTTACCGCAGTGTGAAAGAGTGATAGCCCCTCTATATAAAGTGGGTTTCTGAAACACGGACTCCTTCTTTGCTGATGTGATGAAGAAACTGAATGAGAGTCCAGCGAGGATAGGGAGGGGATAAAGGTTGCACATATTTTCAAGAACTGAGCTACTTCATTTATTTATGAAATGTACTAGTTTGTTTAGGCAATTTAATATATTAGTTTATATTCGTTTCGCAGCATAAAGCTATATTTGTCAGCATAAAGCTGAGCGATTCACTCATTCGTGGCTTTGGATCAAAATAAATAAGTACCAACATTATTTCTGATAGTCTTTAATAAATAAATGTTTTGACCAAGTTAATCTGCTCATGTTGTGTGTGTTCAATTATTTGCGACATTGTGGTTACAATGAAGAATGTAAACAAATTAAATCAAATAAATCCTATTCATAATGAATAATCAGATGTGTGTTCCAAGCTTCTAATTTTTCCTTATAAAAATGTTTGTAAGATTTTATTTTATATTTTTAGACAATACAAAACATACACATACAAACGACAACTACATCACACCTGCCCAGACCCATCTGCTCACACCCCCATCTCCAGCGCCCGCTTCACTCTCCACCACATGGCCTCAAACTGCCCCATTTTGTTTCTCTCTGTCGCCCACACGCACTTTCAACATTTGGATAATAAAGTGTTTAAAGGCTGACATTGGTTGATTTTCCGTTTTTAAGTATATGTTTTTTCAAGATGATTGATGAGAAAAGTATCGTCCAACCCACAGGGTATCTCACTGCACCCTTATATGCCATGTCTATATATGCCATGTCTATTCTGACAGCCAAATTCCTAACTCCACACATCACTTTTGGACTTTATAACATTCCCAGAAGGCATGGATTATTATAACCTAATGAAAAATGAACCAGGTAATCTAATTGTATTTACTGCAGGCCTAAGACCTATGGCAGGGTTCTTCAATTCCGGTCCTGGAGGGCCGAAACACTTCTGTTTTTTATTTCTACCAGGTAGTTAATTGCACTCACCTAGTGTCGCAGGTCTGAATTAGCCCCTGATTAGAAGGAGAGGATGAAAAACAGAGGTGTTTCGGCCCTCCAGGACCGGAATTGAAGAACCCTGACCTATGGGTTTAACCTTCTGAATGAATGATTGTATTGAAGATAGAAGCCGCCTCTTAATGAGTTCCGAGAGCCGATCCGCTACCCAACAAAATAATATCTATTTATTTAGCCAAACATTTTTTATGACTACAGACAGTAGGCCATTATTCCTCTTTTCCTGCATTGAGTAATTTGTCTGCATGTCTATTCAACATTTGGCTAAAAAGAAACCATGCCATGAATTTACACAATGCAATGCGGCACATTGACAACTCAAATCGCTTTAAAGAGCCTTCTGATATTAGACAACAAATAAATATACTAAAACAATAACTTCAAAAACAGTCCATTCATCACTGCATTTCTTCAAGTTTTAGAACAGCTACTTATTCAAGGGTTTTTCTTAATTTTTTACTGTTTTCTACATTGTAGAATAATGAAGACATCAGAACTATGAAATAACACATATGGAATCATGTAGTAACCAAAAAAGTGTTAAACAAATCAAAATAGATTTCATATTTGAGATTCTTCAAATAGCCACCCTTTGCCTTGATGACTGCTTTGCACACTCTTGGCATTCTCTCAACCAGCTTCACCTGGAATGCTTTTCCAACAGTCTTGAAGGAGTTCCCACATATGCGGAGCACTTGTTGACTGCTTTTCCTTCACTCTGAGGTCCAACTCATCCCAAACCATCTCAATTGGGTTGAGGTCGGGGGATTGTGGAGGCCAGGTCATCTGATGCAGCACTCCATCAAATCAAATCAAATCAAATTTTATTGGTCACATGCGCCGAATACAACAGGTGCAGACATTACAGTGAAATGCTTACTTACAGCCCTTAACCAACAGTGCATTTATTTTAGACAAAAAAAGTAAGAATAAAACAACAACAACAAAAAAGTGTTGAGAAAAAAAAGAGCAGAAGTAAAATAAAGTGACAGTAGGGAGGCTATATATACAGGGGGGTACCGTTGCAGAGTCAATGTGCGGGGGCACCGGCTAGTTGAGGTAGTTGAGGTAATATGTACATGTGGGTACATCTTGGTAAAATAGCCCTTACACAGCCTGGAGGTGTGTTGGGTCATTGTCCTGTTGAAAAACAAATGATAGTCCCACTAAGCCCAAACCAGATGGGATGGCGTATCGCTGCAGAATGCTGTGGTAGCCATGCTGGTTAAGTGTGCCTTGAATTCTAAATAAATCACAGACAGTGTCACCAGCAAAGCACCCCCACACCATAACACCTCCTCCTCCATGCTTTACGGTGGAAAATACACATGTGGAGATCAACCGTTCACCCACACCGCGTCTCACAAAGACACGCCGGTTGGAACCAAAAATGTCAAATTTGGACTCCAGACCAAAGGACACATTTCCACTGGTCTAATGTCCATTGATCGTGTTTCTTGGCCCAAGCAAGTCTCTTATTATTATTGGTGTCCTTTAGTAGTGGTTTCTTTGCAGCAATTCGACCATGAAGGCCTGATTCACGCAGTCTCCTCTGAACAGTTGATCTTGAGACGTTCCTCGCAAACATCCATTTATACATTTAAAGTCCCTAAACTCAGCAAGTGTCTATTGTCCTGCTGATAGTCCATCAAGGGTGGATGGCTTCTTTTGTATTTTTACTTCAGCCATCTCATTGCATAGCCCACCACATGCACTGTTTTCTAACCACATCTGGATTGATCCATAACAAATTACTATGGAAATAAA